TGAATTATAATACCTTTCTCTCTTTAAGGATACTAATTGTTTAAGTCAGCTTTTTATCACTGTGACCAAAATACCTGATAAGAGCAACTTCGAAGAGGAAAAGTTTATTTGGGGCTCATGGTTTCAGAGGTCTCAATCCATAGTTGGCTGACTCCATTGCGCTGAGCCTAAGATGAGGCATGGGGGAAGGGGCCAGCAGAAGAAAGCTGCTCTGCTCATGGTGGGGTCAGGAAGCAGAGAGAGTAGTAGAGGAAGGGGATGCAAGGAAGGTGCACCTTTCTAGGGAATGCTACCATTGATTCACCTCCTCTAGCCATACCCCACTTGCATTGTTATTATCCAGTCAGTTCATTTAAACTAGGATGGACTGATTAGGGTATAGCTCTCATCATCCAATCATTTACCTATCAACATTCCTCATAGCCAAACTATAACACTAACAATTACTTTTTCTTGCATTGTTATTTTGCTTTAAAGCTCATATTGCACTTTTGTATCTTTAGATCTATTTACGAGATACTGATTGAAAATGGTAACTATGTGTATGTGTATGTTTGTTACCTGGTAGGTTTCATTTTGGGAAGATGTGGCAGTTCTACTGCAGAAGCCACAAGCGAAGTGTTTTTTTCTCTGGATAAAAAATTTTCAGTCTTTAATCTGGTTTCATATACTTGGAGGTGACTGTTCTGGGAAGAGGTAAGCAATGGGGAATGGAAGGCTACTATTCCTTTCCCATATTTTTCCCCTGTCCTTCACCTCTAAGAATAAACTTTTCCCTTTCAAATGGTGTGGCTGAAAGTGGTGGTTTTCCAGCTATATTGTACTAGCAAAGGGACACTGGAGTATACTGCACATATAGGCTTTCAACAATCCCATTTCTAGACTAGCATCTTCTAGACCTGGTACCTCCATGTCCTAATCTTCTCAAGGGTTTGTAGGGTGAATTGGAGTCAATAGGTTACTAGGTTATTTATTGGTTATGGTTTTATCATTGCCCTCATTTCATCTGCTGTTTCTCAAAATTTGTTTGAAGTCCCTATAGTCTCCTCTTACATTCTGTCTTTGCAAGCTGCTGTATTTTGGATCTGAAACTCCCCGCAGAGGCCCATGTATGAAAAGCTTTGTTCCCAGCTTGGTGCTACTGGGAGGTGGTAGAACTGTTAAGTGGGGCCTTGTGTGTAGAAGTTAGGTCACTGGGAACATGCCCTTGAAGGGGACATTGGGATATCAGCTCCATCTCTTCTCCCAGCTGCCACAAGGTGAGCAGTTTCCTCTGCCATGTGTTTCCACCATGATGTTCTGCCTCACCATAGGCCCAAAATCTATGTCACCATGTGACCATGGGCTGAAAGCTTTGAAACCATGAGCCAAAATAAATCTTTCACCTTTTAAGTTGAATTATTTCAGATATTTATTACAGTAATTGAAAACTTACTAACATATAGGTTTATATGTTTTGCTATTAATTTTATGTATACCTATGATTTTTTAAATTGGGTCTTAGAAAGGAGTAGCAATAAATGTGGTCAATCTGACATAAATCATCAGCACCAAGAATTAAATTTCTAGATAAAAATGCTTAATATGTTTTCACCAAACAATATTATGCTAAATGGTTACTAAAACGGATTTGTTTGATGCAGAATACTCAAAATTTAACATTTATGGGCAATCTTTCAGGATAAAATTGGTAGTTACTGCTTTGCTGACAATGTTGTTACATCATTTAATACTGTTGGCCTTCATTTTCCTGACACCTCCCTTGCTATAACACTCCTACCCCAGTGACTATCTTATCCTTGTTCAGTCTTTTTTAATCTTACTTGTCAACTTCTCCTGGACCCCTCCCCCACACCACTCCAAGGTTGTTACATATACTTACCTTCCTGTTCTTTCAAGTGCCAGCTGAGTGCTGATGGCTTCCTAATGTGTACCTCTAACCCAGACCTCTTTCATGAGCTCCTCAGCAGAATTGGGTGGGAGTTTGAGTTTCCTTTTTCCACTTGTCATGTACTACTGCACTGTTTGGGGGGGACTACATCATTAGACTCTGTGAAACAGGCTTGGACCTTTTATTTTAAAATGTTTTATTACTTATGTTTTCAATAGGCAGTCTAGTCAAATAAGTCAAAATTCAAAAGCTATAAAGGATACAGTGTAAAGTTTCCAGTCCTATTCCTTGTCCTTTAGATGCCTGAACGTTTTCCTCCTGGGATGTAACCCATGTTGTTGTTTTGTTATTTTTGGTGTTTTTACAAAGACACTTTATGCATACACAAGAAAAGACACTTTTATATATGTACCTTTCCTCTCCCCCTTCAATTCCAAACTTGTTTCAAAAGACCCAACACTGATGCAACTGGAACCAAGATTTTCAGAGTCAATATTTCAGATACTGAACTTTTCCCCGATCAAAACAAGATATCCCTCTAAGCACCCCTAAAGACAGAAGGAGAAAGGGAGGGGAGGACTCAATAACAAAAGTTTTCTTGCTCCAACACTTGAAAGCAAGTCTCATTCTGATCTGTTGCTCTGATAAACAGACTTGTAAGGGAAGGAATGTTATTATATATATTATAGTGTTGAAAGAATTAAAAACTTTTGACTTGAATCTTTTCTCATTTTGAGATATGCCAAAGAGAAGCTGTAAAGTTCTTCCTTTAAGTGGAAAGGTGAAAGTATAATAAGATATTGAGGGAGAGAGAACAGACATTCACATTTTATTATATTTTATTATAGTACATTGGTATAGTTGTTCTATTTTTTATTAATCATTGTTATGTTAATTTCTTACTGTTTAATTTATAAATCAAACTTTATTATAGGTATGTATACATAGCAAAGAAAGCACCTGAAACTATCTGCAGTTTCAGGCATTCACTGGGGATCCCGGAAAGTATTCTCTATGGATAAGGGGGCACTACTGTACTCTAGCCCTTGTGAAGCATAACTTGTGAAGCATAACAGACAGTACATTGATTCCTGTGTTCCCATGAGATATTTGTTATCCCTGTGACCTCAGTCACAAACACCACATACTGTGGTCATATAAATTTGTTTCCCAAACTATAGGACGTTCTGCCATATCTGTTCACATGCAAACACACAATTTCTTCACACACAATTTGAACAAATCCTCCCATTTCCCAATACCCCTAACCTTGGCTACCACTTATTTAGCTCATCTTTTCTGAGGTCAGGTTTCTCTAAGCAGCCTTCTATAACACAACTAGACTAGTATTTTTCCTTTATGCCAAACAAATAATAGATAGCTTTACACATTGTAATTGTGAGTCTCCACAACTAGAATATAAGTTCTTTTGAGAGCACAGTGACCATTTAGTTTGCCTTTGTTTCCCCAGAGCCTGGCCCAGTACCTGGCACAGAACAATTTAATACACACCATTGTTTTTGTCAAAGTTCTGTTGCTAGATTCTCAATAACTAATAAACTTATAGCTTTCCATTACTACCCCTCTTACAAAAGACCCACTAATAGTATCTGAGGTATGCTATGGTAATATAAAAAGACAAAGCTTCCAAGGATTTCATAAGATTTTTTTCAGTTCAGAATGTCCTTTTTATCTCAGACTTCCAACTTCCTTCAAGAAAGAAGTAGGGAATGTCAAGTCAAAGGTAACTGCACTAGCTCAGTCCAGAAAGGATACTGGCCTGGACTAAGAAGTAGTGATGGAATAAGAGGTAGTGATGAACTGTGGAGATGGAACAGACACGTGAGGATATGGATAGGAGATAAGGGAAGCAAATAAGGAATGACTTACGGGCTTTCTTTTTGACCAATTGAAAAATATTTTTCATTCAAGTTGATGGGAAAGAATGGAGAAGCTAATTAAAGGGCAGACTAATCATTCACGAACTAAAAAAATCAGATTTACTCATTTCAATTTTACTATGTGTTGATATGCTTTTTATTTTTTGGTGGTATTGGGGATAATATTTAAAGTTATTTTATCATTTTAACCATTTTAAGGGTAATGTTCAGTTACATTAAATGTGTTCACATTGTTTTACAATCACCACCACCATCCATCTCCAGAATGTTTTTCATTTTCCCTAATATTCCTCACCCACTAAATAATAACCCCACAGTCCTATAGTCACTATTCTTTGTCTCTAAGAATTTACCTACTATAGGTGCCTCATGTAATTGGAATCATATGGTATTTGTCATTTTGTGATTGACTTATTCATTTGGCATAATATCCTCAAGTTTTATTCATGATGCAGCATATGTAAGATTTTCCTTCCTTTTTAAGATGGAATAATATTCTACTGTATATGCATATACCACATTTTATTTATCTATTCATCCTTTGATGGACACATATGTTGCTTCTCTATCTTTTGGCTATTGTGAATAATGTTGCTAAGAACCTTGGTTCATATTTGTTCAAGTCCTTGCTCCAATTGTTTTTGGGCATATATTCTGAAGTAGAACTGCTAGATTATATAGTAATCCTATGTTTAAATTTTTGAAGAAGCATTATACTGTTTTCCATAGCAACTACATCATTTTATGGTCCTACCTGCAGGGCGCAAGAGTTCCAATTTCCTTCCCAACACTTGTTATTTTGTTTTCTTCTACTTTTTCTCTTTAAAATAATTGCCATCTTAATGGGCATAAAGTGGTATCTTGTGGTTTTGATTTGCATTTCTGTAATGATTAGTGATGTTGAACATCTTTTCATGTGATTATTGGCCATTTGTGTATTTTCTTCGGAGAAATGTCTATTCAAGTTCTTTGTGACTTGAGCTCTTTGTTTCTTTTGTTATTGAGTTTGGAACAGTTCTGGATATACAAGAGGTGTCCATGGTGTGAGAATGTGTTTTAGAGTGCTATGAGTATACTAGGAACCTTGGAAAAAGCAGTAGAAGGAAGTGAGGGTGTTAAAGAAAATTTTTAAAAACTTCACACACACACACACACACACACAAAATTAAAGTGTTACCTTTAGGGAAGACTCAAGAAAGCACACTCTGTTAGGATTCAAGGTTATTTTAGTATTGAAATTTGTCAACATTATTAAGATTAAATAAGCACTGATGAGCTATCCTTTGAACCTAAAACTATTTAAGAATACTTCTTATATTAAAATAAAAAGCCCTGTATTATAATCTAATTTATAACCAACTTTTTGGTATATAATTCATATATACACTGATGACTATGGACAAACATTAAACTCAGAAAGTATGCTGCTTGCACTAATGGATAACAAAAACAAATTATTCATATAATCTTTAAGTTGGAAATTTAATAAATTTCAATTCCCCAAATTGACTTACGTGAATCACTTGTGGGATACCATTATAAGAAAATACATATGATACAAGCTACAGAACCAATACTTAATCATAATATAATTGATAGAAACGTGAAAACAAGCTGTTATCTATAGATAAGGACAAGCATTGAGGAAAAGGAAAGAATATATAGAAATCTGGACTGTTAACTGAAGCAGTTAGAGAAAATAGTATTACTGAAAACTGGTAATAGATAACTAATCTCCAAAAGTAATATCAGGTTTAAATTACCAAAATTTAAAATTCATTTTTTGTGGTACTGGGGATTGAACCCAGGAGCTCTACTACTGAGCCACATCCCAAGCTAGTTTTGGTTTTTATTTTGAGACAAGGTCTTGCAAAGTTGCCCATGAGGGCCTCAAACTTGTGATCCTCCCACCTTAGCCTCTTGAATTCCTAGAATTATAGGTGTGCATCACTATGCTTGGCTAAATTTTATTATTCTGAAAGTAGCCATTTTATTTAATTCACAGAAAACTGACAAACTCCTGGATTCTGAATTTTTGGTAAAATGTTAAAAGACCAAGGTTAAAAAACCTATACTATAGATATCAAATGCAATTTATGTATTTTAGAACAAACATATTGTTTTGAAGTGTATTTTTGAATTCTACAATCTATATTCTCTCCACATAACCCACATCTAAGAAAACATACCATCCTCTAAAAGCAAAACAAAACAGAACTTTCATCAATTTGAAACTAAAGTGCAGCTCTCCACTTCTTGTTAGGATCCGTGTTGCTAACTGTGGAAAGAAAATCAGGGTAAAAATTTAAGAAGGTAAGTAAATTCACTGAATTTTATTTGTGGCTTGAAAAAGCCCTCAATCTTAAGTAAGTTCATTGCTCAATATAAGTTTAAAATTTTGTTTTTAGTTGTAGATGGACATAATATCTTTACTTTATTTATATATTTTTATGTGGGGCTAAGGATCAAACCCAGTGCCTCACATGTGCTCGGCAAGTGCTCGATGCCCAAGCCCCTCAATATTCAGGCTTTGAAAATCTTTTGATTTTAAGGATTTAACTTCAGTAAAGATTATTGATTTGAGAACTTATCCTAACACTAGTAAACAATCACAGAATTACTACTATGGTATCTTTGAGTTCACTACATTCACTGTTGCTTAACCTTTCCCTGGTCCCCAATCTTCCACATGCAGAATTCTTTGTGGTCTTGGGGTTTGGGAGAAGAGAAGCTATCCTCTTGATGTACTACTACTCTTAAATGTCATTCTGATGGGTGAAGACTGGAACACTATGCGAGATTCTAATTCCTGTGGGAGCTTCTGGCTCCAATTTGTAGCCAACTTGCCATGTGTTGCCAACTTTCCTAGTGCCTTTCCACCTTAATATGTTATTCAAGGGAGAACCCTCATGGGTGCTGTTTTCCTAAAAGGAAACTAGTGCATCTGTAGAAATATGTTAAATGCAGATAGTAAAAAAGTTAAAATTTGGAAATATACTTACATATTTTCCCTTCTTTTTCTAGTTTTTTCAAATGAAGCAAGACGTTACGTTCAGCCATTTTATGTAAATTCTCAGGAATATTCTAAAAGAACAAGGGTGAAGGAAAAACTTTTTCTTTTTTTAAGAACACCTTTTTTTTGGAAAAATTTAAAGAAAAACAAAATACAACATAAAAAGTTTAAGTTAACACATTTTTACATAGTTATAACCTATAAAATTTCACTTTGTAAATGCCTTGCTTTAGGATACTATATTCCTATATATTTCTATGGATAAAATACACTAAGGCCTAATAGTAGCAGTGTCTGTTTTGTTCACTACTGAATTTCAGTGTTCAGCTTACTGACACAGTAGGTATTCATTTATATTTTATGAATGAAGGAATAAATAAATGCAAAAATTCTCAGTTTTTCGACAGTTGGCCCTATAGTTTATTTATTAGGTTACATGATAATATCTTTATTCTTTGTGACATAATTTTCCCTTATTTTTGCCAAAATAATATAATAATGACAACTGTTACTTGAATGAAAATCAAAGCAAATATTCTTTTTATTCTTTAGATACAGAATATAGTTCTGAAGCCAAGCTTCTTGTCTAAATTCACTCTCTCTATTTCTCAATTCCCTGAAAATATTTTGCCAAGATCATCAAATAACTTCAGTCAAAATGCAATGGATTCTTTGCATACTCTTTGTACCTGAAATCCATCAGCTACTCTCTCTCTTTTGACGATCTCTTTTCTCATTTATTCCACTGCTGTAATAATCAGTCTTCATCTTGGATATTTTTCCTTAGACTTCTCTGTAGTATTGATGTTTACAGTATGTTGTACCATGGGTTCTTTTCTCTTTCGTACTCATCAAATCACCACCCAACAATACAGGCACTGATTGGTCCCAATCTGAACATCTAACCTCTAACTCTCCGTGAGATCCAGTAACAGGTTATATATACCAATTTGAGTTTCTAGATTTCATCATGTGAGTTCCCTACCACAGATTAATAATTGATTATTCCCAGATTACTGGCTAAAGACCAAATTTGTTTAGCTGGCAATGAGCCAGATCTGATTGTACCTCCTTTTCCTGCCTCATTTCCTGGGACTCCTTTCCTATGCATCTATATATGTAACCTGTGCTTCAGTCATGTGGTTTCTTTTTGCGTTTTCAAACACATAATGATCTTTAACTGTGTTTGAATGCAACCTTCCCTCTGTCTAGAGTAACTTTTTCTCCTCTATCCTGATACAGAAAATGTGTGCACCTTCTTCAAGGTTCCATAAGTTTCTAAAGGTTTTCCAGACAAGCATCATTAACCCTGAATTTTCACTAGGTAGAAATGATTTTTATTTTTGTGCCTTGACAGATTTGGTATAGGACTTGGAGGAAGTGTGGTGTAGAAAAATACAAGATCTGAATATTCAAAAATGTCTAAAGTCTAAAACCTTTTGTGCATCCGCACTCAGAAAGTTTCAGATTTTGGAGCATTATTAGATTAGGGATGCTCAAGCTGTATAAAGCATTTAGGATAGTGTCCACGAGCATGCAGTCATGTCTCAATAAATGCACACTAACTATTATGATAAAGCCAGTATTTCGAGTACCTGTTGAACATGTGTGTCTTCACTAAACCACAAAATCCCTAGAGGTCAGGGATCCATAGTCTTCTTTGTATCTCTGCACTTCATATAAAAGTGTTCAACAAATGCTGAATGAATATGTCACTCTAGAATACCTAATGCCATCCTATAATCATAAGATGTTTAACACTCACACAGGGAATACACTTCTGAATACACCTCTGAATGCAGAATTGACATTTGTTTAGGTCAGGGCAATTTCTTGATAACTCATTTGTGAGGGTTACAAGTGTTTTTCTATCTGTACTTAGGTCAGAAAAAAAATAAAAAGAAAAAAAACCCCATCCTTTATGTACCTATATAGAGGTTACACTCTAGAATTATGAGGAAATGAACTGTTTCATACAATTTAAATATTTACATTACTCTTTTGCAAATTAGTATTTTTTCCCTGCAGTGCTGGGTGTAGAGTTCAGAGTTTAGTACATGCTAGGCAAATGCTCTATCAGTGAGCTCTACCCACAGCTCTAGACAATGACATTTAAAAAAAATCTTTAGCTGTTTTAATCATTATCCCTCTCTTTTAGAACAAAACATGATGAGTATGAACTGTTTCTTGATGACTTAAGACTATAGGGACATTAGGTCCTTCCCTAATTCTAAATGGCTCCAGATTACATTTCTAAACTTATCTTTAGTAACAATCTCATGTATTTTATGGCTGTATTTATTGTGGAAATAAAATTCAGGTAAAAAATTTTTTGTCTCTTTTTGGTACTGGGAATTGAACCCAGGGGTGCTTTACCACTGAGTTACACCCCTCAGTTTTTTATTTTTATTTTTTAATTTTGAGACAGGGTTTCATTAAGTTGCTTGGGGCCTTGTGAAGTTGTTAAGGTTGGTCTCAAACTTGTGATCCTCCTGCCTCAGCCTCCTGAGTTGCTGGGATTATAGGCATGCACCAAAGTATCCTGCAAACTCTGGTAATCTAACTCCAATGCCTATGTTCTTAACTGCTAAGCTATTTCTACCAACACAGCAGATATCTAAAGAACATTTGCTGAAAAACTAAAAACTATTTGATTGCCACATAATGCTATTTATTCAGTGATGGGCTCAGACATCACACTCGGAGGCATGGGGCTCTTTCACTATATATAAAATTATTCATATATTTTGATGGGTATTTTTTTCCATTGTCAGCCATTGCTACAACTTCTCACTGCTATTATCTCAATATCTGTCTCTAGCAGATCACCCCACCTCCTCTGTTGCCAGTCAGAACACCAAATGATAGCTAGAATAATACTTATCAATATAAAATGGATGCAATTTCTCCTGCAGAGAAAAGTATATAAAGTTTAATTAAGATGGCTCAATAAAGTGCTTTTTGTTCTCTATGGCCAGTTTTTTTTTGTTTGTTTGTTTGTTGGATGTTCTATTGCTCTCAAGTCTAGACAGGTGGCAGTACCTACAAAGTTAACAGACTTGTCCCGACCTGGGCTGTAGTAAATTTACCTACCATTTATAGTCCTTTTGTTTTTATTTTTTGCAGTGCTGGGTATAAAACTCAGGACTTCACACATTCTAGGCAAGCACTGGTATATCTCCAGCCCTATACAGTCTATTAAGTAGATTCTTTATTCTAATAAATTTGTTGTATGTACCAATAAGATAAATGAAAATTACCTTGTAGATAATTTTGACAAGATCAGTTACTGTAAATGCTTTTTCAAAATTATCACGAACTATTGTAAGAATTTGTTCTTCTCGTTTATTTCTGTGAGAAATATATTGTAGAATTGTAGCTTCAGCATTAGGGATTACTGGGCCATGTCCTGAATTAAAGTAATTATACAAATTACTCCACCATATAAAAAACATTAAGTACAACTGAAGTTACTTCATTCTATATAAAAATACTTCAGATGATATATTGGAAAAGCATACTAACTCTACAAATACATATTATTTGGAAAGCTCTACAAGTATAAGGTGTTAAAAATTATGTGCAATCCCAAACAGCCTTAGAGAATTATATCAAAATCTAATCTATTAGATATTATTAAAAATACAAAATAGATTTTAACAATAAAGTATAGCAACAAAAACAGCAACCATAATAACAACAAATGTAATATTTATAGAGTGCTCACTATGTGCCAGGCCCTGCTCTGCATGCTAAACATACATTATTTTTACAAGAACCCCATAAGGTAGGTATTTTTATTATCCCTTTGTGATAGCAGACACTGAGTCACAGGGAGGGTAGATAACCCACCCAGAATAAAAGAACTAAGAGAGGTGGAGCTGGGATTACGATTTGGTAGTTTTTAACCACTCTGTGCTCATAACCACTATGATAAGCTTACTTATAAAGAAAGACTTGTAAAAAGGGGGAATGTAAAAAGTGGATCAATGTAAGTGATCAATATCTATTAAAAGTTCACAAAACACTAGTAGCACTTTAAGAATATGTCTAGGCTAGTAATTTAGAAATTTTGACCATAAAAATTAAATCGTACTGAATTTTAAATAATACAAATTTAATGTGTTATACAAGTCTGTAAAAGAGATGTTTCAAATATTTGGGAACAAAACATCCAGAAGCAGGCTAACCTGCTATGATGTAAAGACTCCTGGGCTTTAGATAACAGACTATCACATATTAGCTGCATGACTGCAAGGAAGTGTCCAAATCTCTGTTTCCTCAGCATTGTAATGGGTATACCATTACCTACTCCAAACAGTTTTTGTGAGGATGATAGCTAGAAAGGCCTCTGCATTGAACCTGATGGGTAGCAAGCTTTATTATTTGGTAACTATGGTTACACAATATAATTTACCTGTGAACAATTGCTGTGCTAATAGGCCAGTTCACTGCACTTACTAAAGCAAACACTCTTAAAACCCTTTGTAGGCAACTTGGCTTCAATGTGAGTGTATCCAACATCTATTGTCTTCTCTTTAAAAATAGCTATGAAGTGTCTATTCATTTTAAATCATAACATTAATTTAAATGCCCATCTCCAGTGTATGTTTCCTATTCCCTCAGATTTAGGAATTAATGAGAGAATGTCAGCACACAGATCTTTCCATGGACATTTGGTTAGGAGCAAATTAGATGGACTTGGAAAATTAAGTAACCTAATCCACTTTTCCTTCTCAGCTTTCTTATTGGGTTGTGCCTTTCTTAGCTTTTAGGATTGGAGGAGAGATTCATATTGCAGAGCAGTGCAGTGATTTCTGAGACACTAACAAGAAGTTTCTTCTTTTGGAGAATGGAAATAAAAATACCATTTTACGGTTTCTACGGAAACTATTGATTTTTTAATATTGTGAGGTCAAATGTAATCCAAAGTTACAAAGCTACAATGTGATCCACAATAGAAATCAAATTAATAAAAATGATGGGAAGTTATGGGATAAAAAAATATTCCTTTTCTAACGTAAGCTTATTTTGTTTTTAATTAACAGTTCTATCAACAGCTGTGTAGATGCTGAAAAATAATTCTCATAGATTTTTAAGAGGTTATCAATGTAACTCTTGGCCTTGTCTTTAAATTTAACTATATGGCTAAATAAAACTTAGGAATATAATTTAAGGAAATAGTTTATATGTGTTTCTTCTATGCAAGCTAAAATGAGCCTTTATCATTTGGTAAGAACAACTTTCTAGGTTAAAAAAATTACCTACCTGGATATATAATACTGGCTTTGATTTTTAATAACTCTTTCAGGGAGTTCATATAATCATAGAGGTCTTCAAATATAGTTGTTCCTTCCCCAAGAATGCAATCTCCAGAAAAGAGGGCATTTTCCTCTTCTAAGAGTAGAGCCATATGATCATCAGTGTGGCCAGGTGTGTATATAACTCTTGTTGAAAAAAGAATAATAAATAATAAAATAACAAGTGTAAACTCCTGAGCTTAGACGAAATGCTGGGAACTCAATTATTCTCTGTCCTTACCTTTGTAAAAGATACAAATAAATGTAACAATGAATTAAAAAACTTATTTCTTGTGCCCACTGAAAATTATCAACAAATAATTCTTTATCTAAATCACATCTATGACTTTAAAGTGAAAATTTAATACTTTTCCCATATTTTTAAATTTTATAAATAATAAGTACAGATTATAACAAATTTGGAAAACAGAAAAATTAAGTACTTAAGGACATAAAAATCAGCAACATTTCTATTACTTTTGTTATTTAAAAACATAATTGTTTTTGACAACACGGTGATGCAGCCTTGCAATCCCAGCTACTCAGAAGGCTGAGGCAAGAGGAAGTACAGTGCTTCTGGGTTCAACTGCTGGGTAGGCACGTGGCATGTGTGCACACACCCCCCCCCCCCCAATACTCTGTTTGAATATGATTTTATAACATCTTTAAATATTTTTCAAAGACAAGTATTTAAGTGCTTTGCTAAGTAACCTGGAACAAAGTTACTCCATAAATGATAAACACCTTATTTTAGTAGTTTATAAAGATTTAAAAGAAACAATCTTTCATTAGGATGTAAAAGAAAATAATTCCTGTGTATTCTTTCTGCCTTTGTGGGTGCCCAGATGGAACTGAGATATACATCTGTAGGTTTAAAAAAAAATGACATTTTAAAAAAATCTATTTTTCTTTTTTTGGTTCCAGGGATTGAACCCTGGGGCACTTAGCTACTGAGCCACATCTCCAGCCCTTTTTTATTTATTTTTTCAATATTTATTTTTTAGTTGTAGCTGGACACAATACCTTTATTTATTTTTATGTGGTGCATGGAATATTTTTAATAATAGTCTCAATAATGGAATGGCCTCACATGTGCTAGACAAGCACTCTAATGCTGAGCCTCAACCCCAGCCCCTTCCCAGCCCTTTTTTTTATTTTGAGACAGGATATCAGTGAGTTTCTTAGGGCCTAGATGCTGAGGCTGGCCTTGAACTTATGATCCTTCCTCAGCCTCCTGAGCTGCTGGCATTTCAGGAGTACACCACCTCGCCTGGTTAATCTATTTTTTTCTAATTAAAAAATTTAAAAACAAAGCAGTTTGGATTGATTTCACTCTATAACATGCTTTTATTTTTTATTCTCTTTCAATTTTCAATTTTTTGTTTATAATCAATATAATTGATATTGTAATCAATACTTTTAAAGTTATGACAAATTCTTTATTTCAAGAATTCTTATTTATTTTATAACTATATCTACAAAAAACTCATTAAATAAAGAACTAAGTCTAAATAATTTGTTTACAAAAGCACATAACCCTTGATTTCTGTCACATAAAGATTTAATTCTTTGTACTAATATTTCTTCTGTATTCATCTTATACTTTGGATTATAATTCTTTTACATGGGTTTCACATTGTTTTCTTATTTATCATTGAACTTCACAAGGTTAAGTTCCTGAAGGGTTGTCTTGTTCTTAACTTTACATTCCCAGTTCTGGACACTTAGTGGAACCTAATTTATTTGCATTGCTTTCTATGTGTCGGGCACTGTCTTCAGGGATTGACAGATATTACACATTTAGTACTTACATTACTTTGGGGTGGGTACTTGTTATGGTTTGGATATAAAGTGTCTCCAAAAAGCTCTTATGTTAATGTAGGAATGTTCAGAGATGAAATGACTGGATTGCAAGAGTTGTAATCTAATCAGTCCATCTGACTTTGAATGGTCTTGGTGGTAACTGTAGGCAGGTAGGGTGTGGCTAGAGGAGGTAGGTCACTGGGATTCTGACCTGAAAGGGATCATCTTCTCTGAGTCCTGGTCACCATGAAGCGATCAGTGTTCCTTTACCATGCCCTTCTGCTCTAATGCCTCACCTTATGCCCAGAGCAATGGACTCAGCCAACCATGGACCAATTCTCTGGAACCATGAAATGAAATAAACTTTCCCTCCTTTAAGTAGTTCTGTTGGGTATTATGGTCACAGCTATGCAAAGCTGCCCAACACAGTACTAGCTACCTCTCAATTTATATTTTAGAAAAAATGAATCATAGGAGATAGCAAAAAATACTGATGGAGTATAGCTTAATTATATTTAGCTTAGGAAATTAATTATTAAGTGTGTGCTGCTGCTATTTTTTTTTTTTTTTGGTATGAGGGATTGGACTCAGAGGGGCTTAACTAATGAGCCACATCCTCAGAGTCTTACTAAGTTGTTTAGGGCCTCCTAAGTTGCTAAGGCTGGCTTTGAACTTGTGATTCTCCTGCCTCAACCTCCTGAGTGGTTGGGATTACAGGTGTGTGCCACTGTGCCCAGAAGAGTATTGCATATTTATGTGAATGGAATATTTTTAATAATAGTCTCAATAATGAAATATTTTTTGGGGAAAGGGTTAAAACAAGTGCCACATTTGTATTTAATACTTAGGAACTAAACACAGGTTTTTGATTAAAGATAGTAAACACCTGTTTTCTTTGTCCTAAAACACCAATAAAATTACCCTAAAGGAGTTTTTTTTTTTTTTTTAATGACATAAACCCACAAAAATGAGAAGAATGGGAGAGGCAACACATCATCAAATATTTAGAAGCTAAAAAGAAAGATGAGTGATAAGTGACTTATTCAGCCATGAGAAAACTGAAACCTAAACAGGCAGTGGTGAAAGCTGAGAAGCAATCAGATTTATGCTGCAGAATCCCCCAAAGTCTAAGGATTTGGGACATAAGGTATCTGGAAGCTTGTCATGCTTGTCATTCATGAAGCCCTAGGTTCAATCCCCAGAACTGAACAAAAACAACACCCCTCTCCTCAAACCCAGAAATAACAACCACCCCTCTCTCACAAATAGATCTTCAGATTCTCTTCTTTGAACAGTGAGACAAATGTCTCACTCCTTTTAAGGGAAAGACAGCAGATTTATTTGAAGAAGAGAAAACAGGCACAGATGGAGGTAGTGACAATATACTAAAAAATAAATTACTTCAAATACAGGTAAATTTTCAAGATGACTTTCAACACTAGTTTTCATAGTGCTAGCAGTAAGGTCTTTCCCCTACATGAAATTAGAAGAGTCTTCTAAGTTACTTCACAAGCTCAGGAGTAAAGACTCTAAGGTAACAATGCTGGAAGTTTCTCAACTAAACAGTTCATCCAGATTACCTTACAGTGAGGCTCAAAATCCACAAAAGCCTCTCTTCTCAGAGGTCCCAAATAGCTCTATAGTTTCTATCAGATGACAATCTGTAAACATCAGAGGATAATCAGGATTTCTAGAATCTAAGGAAAGCCTCTTACATGGAAGACAGTGAATAAAAATAAGCAAAGAAATTTAGAGACAAAAGAATTATGAGAAAATCTTTCAAAACAGACAGACAAACAAAAACATCAAACCTCACAGATTATAAAGTCCTCAGTGTGGTAAAAGAACAAGAAACAAGATAGGTTAGCATACAATAAGCATTTAGGGAACAAAAAATTTCATTGAAAATTAAAAATTTGAGAACAGAAATGAATGAAAATATAGGATTAGGAGATAAAATTGATGCAGATATAGTTGATATAGTAAAAAGGCAAAAAGAAGGAAAACAGAAAAAACATGTTAGATGATGAGTGCAGAAATTCTAACAAAATAGAAGTTTTAAGTAAATGAAAGCAAATGAAAAAGAACAAAACAGATGAGAAAATAAACAACAAGCAATTTCAAGAAAAAATTCTAGGACTGAAGAACAGACTGAAAAGGCTTATCAAGGATTGACGAAGACACTTTTACGTGGCCAAAACTTTGTTCAGGCTCCTTTCAGTTTTTCTGATTATAGGGTGTAGAATATTCTACTCCAAAATATGCCACCTTGTCATACTGAGTATTTTAAGCTGAAGGAATCTGAGAAAACTGAAAAAGCATGAAATTCTGTCTGACTTCCCTGCTGTTGTCCCTTGAAGTAGGTCATAAAACAGAATTCTGACCTTCCTCCAAAATAGGTCACAAGTCCCTCATATGAGAGATGCCTTCTCCATATCCTGATGAAGGAACATCTTTATTTTTGAAGACACAGAGAAGAATATGAAAAATTGGTTTTGCTAAGTTCCCTTAGACCATACCGCCTTTGTCCAATCATGCTTCTTCATGACTATCTACTTCACCAAACTTAGCATAAAAATGCACAGGTTTTCAAGTTTCTTTTGGTCTTCATTTTGAAGACTCCTATGCCATATAAAGCTTAATAAAGTCATATGCTTTTTTCTCTATTAATTTGTATTTGCTAGTTCTATTTTCAGATCTAGCTGGGGGACCTTAAGAAGGGAAAGGAGTGCTTACCTCTCTGTCCTAATTTGAGCAAGAATCTTGCTAAGTCAGTTTAAGGAAAACCTCCTACCCTTGTTATCTGACTGCCATCAATATCTTATCACCCTATTGCCTTTAGCAATAATCCAATCTAGTTGGTTTAGGCAGAAATCCCTTTCCCATTTCTACTGTAATTTTCCATCCACTCAGCCCTACCCTGCTCCTTCATTATAAATCACTACTTGATCTTGTTGGAGTTACTGTCGTGTCTAATCCCTCTAACACACAGCAAGATTCCATTGCAATGGCCCCTGTATCTATTGCCATGGGCCCCCTTTAATAAAGTCTGTAAGTCTGTCTATGTCATCAGCAAGTATCAAGAATAGTTTTCTCCTTAAGAGGTCCCAGAACCATAAACTTGAGACATATAACTTCAGAAATTTCAGAAAAAAAAAATGGACAAGGAGAAAAAACAAAAACTACATGATAAAAAAATCAGATTTAGATTTTTCAACTGCAGTGTTGAAACTAGAATGAAATAACATCCTATGTACAAAATGGAGAAGGGAAAAGTTTCAATTCATGTTTTATACCCAGAAAATATAAATTTAAAAAATTAAATTCATTTCTCAACTGATGCATCAAAATATTTATGGGGTACCTACCATGTGAGGTTTTGATACATGTATACAGTATATAAGGTTTAAATCAGGTTAAACTTATCTATATCCTTAAACCTTTATCAAGTCCTTATGATAAAGACAATTAAAATCCTTTCTTTCAGCTGTTTAAAATATATAGTATATGATCATTATCTATGGTCACCTTATTCTGCAACAGCACAGCAGAACTACTTATTCCCATCTAACTGTAACTTAGTACCCATACAGCAAACCTTAAGTTAGATTTTAAAAAGACACATTCACCAACTGCAAGGGAGGCTGAGGCAGGAGGATCACAAGTTTAAAGCCAGCCTGGGCAACCTAAGGACCTTGTCTCAAAAGGGCTGAGGATGTAGCTCAGTGGTAGAGCACTTGCTATGAGGCCTGGGTTCAGTGCCAGAAAAAAACAGTAACAACAACAAATTAAAGTCTCAAGTCTCTTTCTATCCTTTCTCAGGAAACTTTCAGAGTGGGGTTTCCAAATAGAGGGGGTATAGAAATTTATTGATTATAGGAAATAGGTGATCCCGCATTAAAATTTATTGGTTATGGTAAATACAGAGGCAAAGAAAAGCACTCCCTAAGAATGAAAGGAACTCTGATGATAGCTGCACCAGACTTGGAGGAAAACCAGTTCACACTGGAAAGGGCAGAGGGGAAGCTGCTTCTTGGAAGATGAAACTGAGAGAATCCCTGATACATTTAAACATCCTGAGAAAAGGTTTATATAATCAGATTTGAATTAGTGATAAGTGCATAGAAAACTATGCAAATAAAACAAAGTAATAACCATAGGGAAAACAGAAAAAATAAACATAGTTTACTATATGTTTCAGCTGTATAATAGTCATAATATGTAATCATAATGCCTATAGTCATAATAATGTAATCATTGAATATATGAATCCCCTTCTTCTTTCCTTCTGCCCCTCTTTTTGATTCTCTCTGGAGATCCTTGACTACTACCCAATTCACTAATATTGTTATAAAAATATTAGCTAAAATATTAACAGAATAAAAAACACATTCAAAAATAATAATATCATGACAAAATAAAGATCCCTGAAAATAATAAAATTATAAGATCCCTGAAAATAATAAAATTATGGTGAAAACTAATAAGCTTGTTTCCATATGCTTTGAAAATGACATTTAACAAAAGTCAGTTCTTATTAATTTTTTTAAATATTTTTTTTTTAGTTGTTGAATAAGCTATTTTATTTATTTATTTATATGTGGTGCTGAGAATTGAACCCAGTGTCTCACACATGCTAGGTAAGTGCTCTACCACTGAGCCACAACCCCAGCCCCACTCTTACTAATTAATAAGTGAAATGACTACAACTTAGAGGAGTTTCTTCTTTGCCAAAAGAAAAATTAATCAAACATTTAATATTAAATGTTGAAATAGTAAAGTTTTTTAAAAAATCTGTTAAAAACATGATAGAGTTTAAGAATACAAAATATTAATTAGTGGGGAACAATTATTATTATTGTTTTTGGTACTGGGGATTAAACCCAGGGGTACTTTACCACTAATCTATGTCCCCAGCCCTTTTTATTTTGAGAAAGAGTCTCACTAAATTGCTTAGCCTCTTTAAATCGCTGAGGCTGGCCTCAAACTTATGATCCTCCTGCTTCAGCCTACCAAGTTACTGGGATTACAGGCATGTGTCACTGTGCTTGGCAGGAACAATTATTTTTGAAAGATCAAAGCCTGACCTTTAATAACCATTAGGCTTTTCTGATTTCTAAGTGTATGCTTCACATATTGCAGATAATTATAATATTATACTTGCTTCAATGGTGAGGTATTAAAGAGCTGTTTGAAATAATTTGTGTGATTAAACTTTCAACCACCTGATAATAGAAGCATTCAATGTTATATGAAAATAATTCCAGGAGGTCGTTTTCCATTTAACAAAAGTCAGTTCTTATTATACTATAAAACTTTGTCAGTGCGTGAGTGTGTATCATCTCTTATGGACAATTTCTGAATACACAGAATGCATTAATAAGCAGAACTCCATTCCTTTTAATTTGTAAAAACTCACTTGGAGCGCTACTCTGTTTTCGTCTGCAAACTGTCTTATATGTCAACACACTTGCAATACTTTCTTTATTATTACTCACCTATACCACACCAGAACTCAGCAGTTTTTTTTTTATTTTCTAAGTCGAAGGCAGTAAGGTATCTTAATCTAGGGGACTGGAAATTCTAAGTCACTTGTGTGGTTAATGTCTTAATTTGCATAAAACTGTGTTAAAATTCAACTCACACAAACAGGAGGAGAAAAGGAAATGACATCAGAGGTGCTTTGCTAATCAGAAGAAATGTAGCTGTATTGTTCCCATTCATCAGTTATAAAGTCCACTCTTCTGGACAGAGTGGACTTTATAAGGATGGCACTCAAGACAGTCATCTGGTCAACTTTTCTTTAAGAAATTAAATTTAGTTTTTTAGAAAATTCCTCATAGTGATATCCAGAGTCAAATTTTTGCCCCCCCCCCCAAAAAAAAAAAAAAATTCTAGCTTTCTACTTTTTACTACAAAAGTTCTTGGTGAATATTATCTGTGTCCTCTTGTTTTTTTTTACAAAGTTGGCATGTAGGCAAGATTAATTGGACAATGAGTACTTGAAGACTTATGCACATTTTTAACCATCTATTTATGGAACTTTTGCTTAAGAACAAATCTTCAGGCAAATACTGAAAACAACTGGGTTTTACTGACTATAAAAATGGAAATTTGAAACCACAGTCATCAAGCTTTATTATAATTGGAAATGTATATTTTAAGAAAAGATTTACCAAGTCATTTTTAAAGAATGCGAATGCTATTTATTTTTGATTCTTTGTGTTGTTTTCTTCCAATCTTAAAATAGATTTCTACATTTAATTTGTACTAACCATATATTTAAAAACATCTATTTAATGAAATTATACAATATTGAGATTTGCTCTACAAGTCCAAGGTAGTATTCAACTAAGGGGGAGATAGTGATAGGATGCTAGCCTGAGGGAGACTTTTGGGGCACTAATACTGTTCTGTTTCTTCATCTGGTGCTGCTCATATGGCTTGTTCAGTTTGTAAGAAGTCATCATATTATACATTTAGGATATGAACATTTTTCTGTTTACAGATAATACTTTAATAGAAAGTTTTAAAAAAATGTGGTCCTGCTTACTTTGGTAGTAGTTAACTTGCAAGGGCTGAATATTCTTAATATATAAGATTTGATATAGATCTAATATCTATATTCTGTAATGGGTGATAACCAGTACTACTATTCCCAAACCTTTGAGACAGAAGACTCAGTGAACCCTTTGCTGTCTCCACCTCTTTCACTAGCTGGCCCAGGGCCAGTGTGCTATGAACGAAATTCAGTATTGTTCAGAATGCTTTCTGAAGAAGTAGTAATGTTTATTCTCCTCTGATATCATGAGAAAAATTATATGAGAGCCGGGTACAGTGGCCCACGCCTGTAATCCCACTGACTAGGGAGGCTGACAGGAGGATTGCGAGTTCAAAGTCAGCCTCAGCAATGGCGAGGTGCTAAGCAACTCAGTGAGACCCTGTCTCTATAAAAGTTACAAAAAGGGCTGGGGATGTGGCTCAGTGGTCGAGTGCCCCTGAGTTCAATCCCTGGTACCAAAAAAAAAAAAAAAAAAAAAAAAAAAAAATTATATGAGATGCCAGTGTATTTTAACGACAATACTTTAGGACAACTGCCCAGTAATTAGCTGGTGTGTAAGTTATACCGTGATTTTGTAAATCACTAGTATAGTGGAAAAAGGTTTTGGCTTGAAAGTAGACACAGATACCCATCACTTTAATTTTTTTCTTATTCAACTGTTCATCTATTTGTCTCTTTATAGACATTTACTACATGTAGGATGAATGTTCAGTGCCTTGTATGTGACAGGGATTGCGATTAAAGGAAGAATCTGGTATCTGCCTAGGTTGGAGAATAGCTAGCTACTAACCAAAGCCGTTTCTTCTTTTTCCTGGACATGCAGTTGAACTAAATTTCCCAGCTTACCTATGGTTAGGGGTGGCATATGACTGAATTTACAGCCTATGCAACAGAAGGCCTGGTCCATAAAAACCTATTACATAAAAACCTATACAATATCCCTCTGTGCTCTTTTCCATTTGTTGAATTGATTGATAGGAAGAAAAAGCATAAAACATTAATAATGGACATGAAGAAGGAATAGCACTGACAAATATTTTTGAGACAAAAACTAACTTGATTAGATGTGGAAGGTGATTGCGGGAGTACAGGAATGGTAAAGGTGAATAGTAGTTACAGATTAAAGGTAATACTGAAGTGAATATTTCAGAAGAAGGGGTAAAGTCTCAAGTACAGAGAAAAGTAGATGTTTGGAGGTCAGAAGGTCAGTATAGATTGCAGGGGATAGAAGAGACCATGATTAGTTCAGTCATAAAATTATTCAGTTTGAAATACCTTTCTGAATCCCTCATGCAGGTCATGAGGGATTACAGATCTGGCCTAAAATGTACTTATTGTAGGTACGGGTCATCTTTTCAAAGTAAGAACAAGGAAAGTCCTGAATTGAAGTACAAGTAGATCATTAAGCCACCCTAAGAAGAAACTATTGGCTCTTAAAATTTAAATATTTATGTAGAAAAAAATGGTAGGATTCAAACAAATAAAAAGGATATACAGAGGGAAGTCTTCCTGTATTGGTTTCTCCAGCATCCATTCCCCCCACTACCCCCAGGATACCTCAAGTTACCAGATGTTTTTTGTATCTTTCCTGAGACAGTCTTTGAACATGCAAGCAAATAAACCTAAATCTGCCTTCCCTTCTTTATCACACATACACCCCCACCCCATCTTTCCCAAGGGACATTAACTTACCTTAGAGTGGCTCCCTCAGTCTTAATCACATCTCCATCTTTCAGATAAACATATTGTTGCTCTCCATTTCCTATAATTTCTTTTCTGTGAGGATTCCGTGGGAGTTTTTTAATACAATAGGTAGTTTCTAGCCACAAAACATATAAATATATTAGGTCATACTTTAAATGATTTAGGCTTTTAAGAGATCAACTTTAATACAGCTTATAATTGTGAATGACTACATAAAATACTCACATTAAGACAACAGAAATATGGGATGAGTTGTAGCTTATCCCTCTGGATGTAACTATTTAATATAATTTAATGAAAGAGCTTTTTATTCTTCCATGCACCTCTCATGGAAGCCTGTGTGATTTTTCTAGTCATTCCATATAAAAGTTTGAAAGTAGTTCTTCATAATCTTAGTTAGCTTTAACATTAGGACAGGTGTTAAAAGAGTAATAATACAGAACCCAAGAACTATCTCTATCTAGGTGCCTACCTACAGTAAAGAAGTCATGACTAGCAGTGGTACATGCTTGTAATCCAAGCAGCTTGGGAGACTGAGGCAGGAGGATCACAAGTTCAAAACCAGCCTTAGCAACTTAGGGAGGTGCTAAGAACTCAGCGAGACTCTTGTCTATAAATAAAATATTAACAAGGGTTGGGGGATGTGCTGTTATGATCCATGCCATGAGTATTGAAAGGGAACTCCAAACCTGAGGCTAAGTAAGTTCAGCACAAACTACTACTCACTGATATAAAGAAAATCAAGCTATAGTTGAGTGCCAATTATCTATGTATAGTGAATACAAGCACCACGACATCAAAGGATTTAAAAACTGTCATAGTGGGGGGAAATGAAACTTAGAAACAAAGACCTATACACAATGCCATTTCTTGAATGCTAAAAGGACAATTCAACTAGTAAGAGCAACAGAGCAGGTCACGGTGGTGCAGGTCTGCAATCTCAGCTACTGGGAAGCTTAGGGAGGAGAACTGTCAAATTCAAGGCTAGCAAGACCTTGTCTCAAAAAATAAGATAGAGCTGGGGATATAGCTTAGTGGTAGAGTACTCCTAAGTTCAATCCCTTGTACCACCAAAATAAATGAATAAACAAAATTAAAAAGAAAAGAAACGCAATAGGAGTCCAGAGAAAAGAAAAAATAGGAAAGGATTCACATACATGATGGAACTTAGGGTATGATTTACATGATAAGTAAGATGTATAAGAAAGACATGGAGGAATGGAGAACAGCATTAGTAATGGCATAGGAATGAGAATGAGCATGGCATACCTGTGACAACATAATGCTACCAACTTGTCTAATGGAAAACACTGGGTGGAAGAGTGGAGAAAGTGGGCTAGGTAAGATGAGCTCGATTATGGAGGGCCTTAGACTGCCTTTCTTTTCACACAATGGAGGGATTTAAATTTTACCAAGTGTGGCCATTCCACACTTTCAGGAAGACAACGAGATGGTGTTAACAGGTGGGGCAATATGGCAGTTGTAAGTGGGGAGAATGGAAGGGTGAAATCTGACAGAACCAAGAGGGGATGACTGCAATAACCCACATCGAAGATAATGAATATTAAGGTGGTAGAACTGAAAACACATGAGGGAGAAAAAGACATCCCAAAGAAAAACCAACAAGGCATAGAAATCTGGCCAGTATGGAGTATAAAAGAGATAGAAACACTAAAAAAAATAATAACAAACAGCACCTTCCCCTTCCAACCTCAAATTCCATTATTTTGTATCTTGGAGGTTGAAGCAAAAAACCAAACCAAACCAAACCAAACCAACCAACCAACCAACCAACCTGATCTGGAAACTGATACTGCATAATAAATTAGGATGGTGAGGCTTGTTTTGTTTTTTAATTTGCCTAATTAGAACTTCAGTAAAGTAGAGATTTGTTTCTAGTTATAAGACTTTGGTTGACAATCTTCATAAAAAAATCACAACTATTTTAAAATTACAAAACAATCCATACTATAACTTTGTATCAATTTTCAAATATATAAATTTTCAATATACATATAAATTTTCAATATACATAAAAGAAAACAAATATCTTATTCACAATAACCATTTACAAGAATGGACAAACATGCTGAAAACAATCATATAACATTTCTTATAATTACTTTATTGAGATATAATTCACATACTATAAAATCTGTCCTTTTAAAGTATACAACTCAGTAGGTTTTAACTATAGTCAAAGAATTGTGCAACTATCACCACTATCTAATTTTTGAAGCTCCCAAGAGAAATTCTGAACTCAATGATAATCACTCCCTGCTCATTCCCTTCTAGCCTTTGGCAACCACTCATCTACTTTCTGTCTCTATTATATAGCTCAGTCATTTGTTAAGGTTTGCATAATGGTTTATAATATTATTGGAAATGCTTATCATTTAAGCTAGTACAAATGTGATATTGTCAATGTATAATAATTTCTAATAAAAACATTCTAATTGAATAGCATAGATGCAAACATTTGAATCCTTGGGCTTAGTTGTGAAATATGTGGCAGAGACTCAATTTTACTTGGAAAATAATTAAAAATTATCAGATAACAAAATATATTTTAAAGATTTATTCTAAAACCAAACCAAAATATGTAAGCTGTGTGGGATTACAGAGTTTGCATGCCTAGCAAAATTATGGCTTTCTGTAAGCCGCTAAGAGTTCCCAAATAAGCAGATTGCTTTCAAGTCTTTGTATCTTCCCACAGAAATCTTGTAAATGGCATTTGTATTTTGGGGGTGGCCTATAAAAATATTGTAGCACTGAAAGCTATTTGAATCCTTTCTACTCTACCAATAATTAAACAAAATTGCAAAGAAGTATGGAACAAAGTAACAAAAGTAAAACAAAATGAGACCATAATGCTAATGATAAAGGATTTTGAGAATGAAGAAATAACATGGAACTGTTGGGGGAAGATTCTGGAAGGCACCTCTGTACGATTTTAATGCCCAGCATCCCAAGGTCCTCAGCAGCTTGTCTAGCTTCAATAAAGTCCAGAAACAAAGACAACAAGTCACTTCTCAATGTATTAAAATTTCAGTGGCTATAAAAAGCAGTGTCAATTTCTCCTTTAGATTCTTTACATCAATTGAATAGGTAATATACTACCTAGGTATATTAAATATTAGGTATGTCTACATTACTATAGGTAATCTAATAGTTAATATTTTGTATGGAACCCAAAACTTTAAATTTAAAGAAAATAGGTCTCACTAACAGGAGAATGAATAAATAAATTATAGTGTATTTATACATGAGACTATTACTTGACAATGGGTGAATTGTCTAGAGAAGGAAAATTCATTAGGCTAAAAAATTATGTTTTTTTTTTTTTTTTTAGCATCCCCTTGGGTTGGACAAAATGAGGAAAGATGACAAAAACATTAGGTTAATTTTTTTTTTTTTTGTACTGGGGATTGAACTCAGAGGTGTTTAACCACTGAGCCACACCCCCCAACCTGTTTTAATATTTTATTTAGAGACAGGGTTTTGCTGAGTTGCTTATGGTTTCACTGAATTGCTGAGGCTGGCTTTGAACTCTTTTTTTTAAAAATTTTTTTTAAGGAGAGAGAGAATTTATTTTTAATATTTATTTTTTAGTTCTCGGCAGACACAACATCTTTTGTTTGTATGTGGTGCTGAGGATCGAATCCTGGGCCGCACGCATGCCAGGCGAGCGCGCTACCGCTTGAGCCATATCCCCAGCCCGGCTTTGAACTCTTGATCCTCCTGTCTCAGCCTTCCTAGCCCCTGGGATTACAGGCTGTGCCATGGCACCCAGCAGAAAGGTTTTTTTTTTTTTTTTTTTAATAACTGACAGCTTGTGATAATGGGTGCAGTAGCTGAGACTATTTTGGTCTTAACTATAGTCTCAAGGCCTAAAAAAGGCTTGCAAATATTGTAAAATGCTAGTTTAACGCACATGCACATCCTTGTGTGGATTAAAGTCCTTGACCTCTTGGCTAATGCCTTGAATATGCCAAGCATACTCCTATTCCAGTCTCTTTGCTCCTGCAATGACCTTAGTCTGGCATGCAATCCTCTCAGGAGCTCACCCCTTCTTCTTACCCCCTCTTGGATAATAGCCACTGCTTCTTCCCCTTCACTTTTTCCCTTTTCTCTTTGCATAACTTTATTTTTTCCCCCAATTCCCATTACTTTCTCCAGTACAGGCTAAGTATACCCTATTTGAAATGCTTGGGACCAGAAGTGTGTAAGATTTTGGATTTTTAGAATATTTGCAAATACATAATGAGGTATCTTGAGAATGATCCCAAGTTTAACACCAAATTCATTTATGCTTGGTATATATTGTCTACCCAAAGCCTATACAACATTTTTAGAGTGCTTATGTTTTGACTGTGACCTATCATGAGGTCAGGCAGGAAATTTCCAACTGTGGAATCATGCTGGTGCTTAAGAAGTTTTGTATTGTGGGATATTTTGGATTTTTGGACTAGGGAAGCTCATCTTGCAGAATGAAAGCTTTCTGAGAGCAGAGTCTATTTTCTTCACTGCTATACTCTCTTGAGCCAAAAACAGTACCTGATACATTGCAGTCACTGGAATACTTGTTGAATGAATAAATAGAAGTATGTGGTGGTAGGATGACAAAATAAGGACAGAGTTGGCAAACAGGTTTCAGGAAGAGAGAAATTCAATGATACTTTGTCTGAATTTCAGTTTGTATTAGTAGTTGCTTTGGAATCAATTGTTATGGAAACCCTGATATCATCTGTTTAGAACATGGACAAAAGCAGCATCTTACTCACAGTACCCACATGAAATGTTGAGCAGGGTGCTTGGCACACAGAAAATGCTCAATAGTTATTAGTTATTAAGTCTGAGGCAGTAAAGGTCACAAACGACTAAATTAAAACTGTCCATTATCACAGAGAAAAAGGGGAAGGTAAGAGGGAGAAGAGGATTTAGAAATAGAAATCAGGACTGTTCCTGTCCTTTTTTTGTTAAAGCTGGGAACAGTATTTAAGTCACAAAAATAGTACTTTTTTAAAAGTGCCATTTAAATAAAAGGTATTTAGTGAATGGTCTATACCTTACATTATAAATGATTCCCAAACATAATTTTCTTCAATGTGTATTGTAAATATTTTCTGTTTACCATTTTCGATGTTTTTACAAATATCTTTTATGCCTCCAGAATGATCAACATGCCAATGAGTCACTATGATTTCTTGGATTGCTGTATTAAATTCAGCCAGAGCTTGCTTTAAACAGCTGATGTATTCTGGAATTGAGGGCTCTCCAGTGTCAATGAGGATTCTCCTGAAAATTAAGGGGAAGATAATCATGCAATTGGAACAAAGGGTTAATGTTAGCATATTTCTCACACAGATAATTTATATTAAATTTAAGAAACTCTGTAACAGTTTCTTTCAACATGCTTGGAAACCAGTTACATGTTACTTCAGCTTAACTATAGTGATAGTACTGTAAGTTCTTTGAAACAAATTATATCTAATGGAAGACTATACAAGGAATAACAGCAGTAATCTTGAATACTTACATAGTAACTGTTCCCACTGTATTCTTCCTAATGGCTATTCAAGGCAGGCATTTCATATACTCAGAAGTTAAGTTACTTCCTCAGTGTTACTCCACAAATAAATGACAGAATCGGCATTCAAACCCTGATGCCAATATATGTTTACATCTACTTAGCCTTCCAGATCTTTTACAAAGCCCTCAAAATTCCTCACGGATATGAATTTGATTCAACAGCAATTCCAAAGAAACCTGGTCTTCTTCATGAGATACCTAACTTAACACTGAAGTTTTACAATTGTACTCTTACATGTGAAAAAGGATATAAGAAAGCATAGGGGAAGGTCTGAACTGTTATACTTCATTACTAAGACAATCCCATTAGTTATATACATATATTTTCGTTTGTGGTTTTGAGCCTTTCTTATACTTTGTTTTCTTTCCTTGCTATTTTATGGAATACCCTTTCTCTCTATTTTCCTGAACAAAAGAAATCTGTGATATTTTCCTTAAGAACGAACCAATTCACAAATTTAACCCAAGCAGTTTCAACAGTAATCCTCACACCTATTTAAGCCAAGATATTAGTCTTGATGAAAATTCTGAGTCATTCATTACTTTATCAGAAACTGTTCACAGATTACCGACAACTTGCCATGTCTTTATTTCTTGCAGAAATCAAGAAAAACAACCTTGCTTACTTTCTAGAGAAGTTGGGAACAGGGAGGTGTGTATGACCAAAAACAAACAATAAAGTAACAGGTGACAGAAAAACATTTTACAGATAATTAAAATCCAATTCAAACTGGCCTTATACAAAGTTACAGTTGGATAGGAACAAGAAGTTCTAGTATGCTATTGCACAGTAGGGTACTATATATAACAATATCTCATACATTTCAAAAAGGCAGAAAATATTTTGAAAAGTTTTCACCATTTAAAGAAATTATGTTTGAGTAGATAAAATGTAGTCTGATTTGAACATTATGCAACATATATGTGTATAAAAACACGTATATATGATATCCCATTAATATGTACAATTTGTGATTTTATTAATGAATAAACACAAACTTTAGAAAAGGTCCCTCATTGGGGAGGAAGGCAGTGGGCCACAATTTATATCCTAAGTTCTGTAAAGCAGTGAATCAACTTTAGAAATACAGTTTGAACTGCCTGCTCTGGAGATGGGTACCACATGTTACACAGGTCTGAGGGAACATTGGAAGATCCTCTTGGTAGTGAAAGGAAGAGATGGTAATAAGGAAGAGATGGTTTAAAGACCTTTCAGAAGGCACAATTAATTTTTTTTTTTTTTAACAGTGAGATTTGGAAGGGAAGGGAAAGACAGATCAGATCATTTTGAGTTTCTGGGTGGGATGATTGACGTACTGTTAACAAAGACTGGAAACACTGGAGGGAATAAATCTAAGATGAGTCTGAACTGGGTCACAGTGGATTTTGATAGTATTTGTAGTTACCTTCCCTTGCTTTTTCTCCATAGCAATTATAATCATGTAACATGTATTTACATGCTTATTTACTTATTGTCTATCTCCATACTCTTTACCACTCTACAAATGTAATCCCATGAGGCAGGGACCTCGTCTATCTGGTTGAAGTGATTTATGGATTTATTTGTACATCTACAACACACTATGCGATGCTTGTCCATGTGTACATTTAGTCATACTACATTAAAAATACATAAAACTATAATACGATACTTCCTTATAATATTCTCTTACCTATAATCCTAGATTTTGGCTCTATGAATTTGGGGTTCTTTGGTGTTTATCCCAAATTCTTTATGCCCCTTAATTAGTGTCACTTGGGTTATTTTGGAGGTCTTCTGGCCCTTGAGAGGAATCCTTCCATGCTTCAGATCAAGACTTCTCAAATCTTTTTAAACCACAAAGTCCCCTAATTGTTATTATTTAAATCATTGGCTTCCCTTCCTCCCAAGAAACTCTATTTTGAAATATCTGGCAACTGAAAATCTGATCATACAGATAATATCTTATGCTGACACAGTAATTTAAACCATTTAGAGCTTTTATGTTTATTATATTTTGATCCTTAGATCAACTCTAGGTAGGGATTATTTTATTTATAGAAAAAGAAACTAGTCTTCAGAAAACAATTTGCTCTAGGTCTTACAGTCACAAGAGGCAGTGCTAGGAGGCACAAATGTTCTAGTACAAGTTTTAGTGACTTCTTCAGAACTAGGACCCTATTTCCTCTTGGACAGAAGGTGACTGTTTAGGAAAGCACCTAGAATCACTTCTCATGTGGCAAAAATAAAACTTCAGTTCTAGACTAGAACACAAAGTTGTTTCCTCCTTAAATATTTATCTCATCTGTAAAGCCTATGAAGTGTTATTGCAGATGATTAGATAGTATCATTTCTATGTGAGTTGGTTGCTTTTATTCTTCATGGTCACAGGTAATATACCTGTCTCAGGAGTTCATCCTGCAAATGCAAGTAATACTGATAAAAGGCCTAATAGAAGAGTGTAAACGAATCTATACAGGTCTATGACTGATTTATTCACTAGGGCTCAGTGCCTGACATGTAGTAGGCACGTAATAATAAGCTGCTACATAAAGAAAAAATTCTTTAACTGATGGCAAGTTAGTGGAATTAAATATTTCCTTATAGGTATTTTATATCAATATTAAGCTATCAACTGGTCTCCGTCAATATGCTGTCATTAGCTCTTCTCTGAATATCTACTATGAAACCAGTGTTATAAGAAAAACAGAAGTGATAAATACTTAATGTTGTTTTCCACATTAGTATTTTTTTTTTTTGATGTTCATAGGTTTCACTGAATCCTCAAACCATACCTATGAGGCAGGTACTATATAGCCCTCATTGTATAGGTAAGGAATGTGAAACTTAAGAGAGGTAGCTGTCTTGTTGAAAGTCACACAGCTAGTTGGGTGCAGTGGTGCACACCTGTAATCCCAATGGTTCAAGAGGATGAGGCAGGAGGATCCAGAGTTCATAGCCAGCCTCAGCAATAGCGAGGCACTAAGCAACTCAGTGAGACCTTGTCTCTATATAAAATACCAAAAAAAAAAAAAAAGGGCTGGAGATGTGGCTCAGTGGTTAAGTGCCCCTGGTTACCCCCCTTACCCCCCCCCCCCCCGAAAAAAAAAAAAGTCACACAGCTAGTAAATGGAGGTAGGATAATAATCTAGGTAACCAAAGTCCAAAGTAGTAACTCTACTTTTCTGGACTGCTTTTTCTATTATAAGGTACAATATACGACATCACAGTATGTAGTTTTGACAGAAAATGTTCAAATTGCAACTATCAGGGATTCTTGAGAAGAGAAGGAAAATTGGGCAATCATTTGTTGATTCAAGTGCTTATTGAGCACCTATAATACTAAGTATCACAGCAGGTCTATTAGTGCTTCAGTGAAATTCATTTAACATCCATGGGCTGATCAGAATGAGGAAGACAAGCTAAAATTGTGGTTATCCAGAAGTCCTAGAATAATAGTAAAAATTTAATAGAAAATTTAAAGAATGGTTATTCATTTGGCAAACATTTACTGTAGTACCTCTACTATACAAGGCTCTATGCTAGGTGCTGACGATACAGTGATTAATGTCTTCACTGAATTTATGTTCTGTTGAGCTAAGGGTCATGAAAAGTATGGAATGCTAAAACAGTGTACTACTTAGTCCAAAGGGTCAGGGAAGGTTTCCCTGAGGAACTATTTCAAATGTACTCTAAAGGATGAGTAAAGATTGTGAGTTGAAGAAGGGAGGAATGAGTTGGAGACAGAGAAGGAGGTGTGACCAGAAGCTCAGTGGCAGAAATGATACAGCTTTGCTGAACTACTGCAGAAAGAGGAGCATAGCCTACTTGAGGTCTGAGATGAGCCTAATGAGATGGGAGACAGAATACTTAAGATGTTTCAATTCTCTCTCTTTTTTGGTTTGATACTAGGGACTGAACCCAGGGTCACTCTACCAGAGTGAGATTCTAGTTTGTAAAGATACATAGGTACTTTTCACACAACATGGGCTTTAAATAGCCAATTTGTTCAGCTCATTTTTTAAAGAGAACCGGCCATCTGGGTGGGAGGAAAGTGAGTTGAGTTGAACTGAGACCGTTCATCTAACTCCAACATGGTATTCTATGAGTCTTTCTAGAGTAATTTTGCCTATGCAATTTTCATCCTACGTACTGACTTTAGAACCAATTTAAGATGACATGCTGAGACGGGAATGCCTGTGGACTATCTGGGCTTAGGGACTGCTTAATTTTTTGCCCTCCTAGATACTGGAGTTTGCCTAAGTAAAGGTCTTGTATATACTTGATCCTGCCAGTTTACTCTGGACTTAACCTCTGGCCTACTTAATTGCAAGTACTCTCAGTCCTTCCTATTCTGCAGCTTCTAAAATTCTTAGTTACCGAAAAAAGAGTGAAATGTAGTAGATACTTCAAAGGAAAACTCAAAGACCTATACTGGTCACAACTATAATAAAAATCAAAATTACTTACGATCAGTTTCTCCTTCCCAAGAGCCAGGGTTTTTTTTTTTTTTTTTACAGATTCAAGTAAGTTGGAAGCAAGAAAATCCTGCCCTCTGCTGCTGAATTAAGGAAGTGGCCTCAACATAATTGCTTTTGGGAAACTGTACTCTGGTCAAAACGCCAAGGGACTTTGGTAGTATAAACGCTTTCTTGGAGTCTTACCTCCATAACAGCTTAAACACGAACTCTGGCATTCAACATTAAGCAAAGTAAATAGGGTTTCAAAGCTTAAGTTTTTTTTTTTTTTAAATTTTATTTTTTTCACGACTTCTGCCTCGGTTAGAGAGGGTACCACCGGGGTGGTTGTAATTCAGAACTCTGGGGTCCTGGCATGTGCACGAGGGCCTGATTGGGGTTGCCCTTCCCGGGACTAGAAGCTGCGCTCCCGCAATCTCTCTCCGGGGCGAGCAGTCGTCGCAGCCTCAGCTCCGCGGTCCCGCGGGCGAGTGTACGTTGTGGGGGAGGGGAGAGACGTTTACCTGGAGCCGGTCCCCACCAGGTAGGTGTTGGTGCCTTGCAGGGTCATGGGACCCGGGTTACAGCCCAACACGCGTACTACCCGACTGGACAGCCGCTCGATGCGCTGCAGCGTGACAGACATCTTGAGTTCCGGCGGCCACCGGGCCCGTAGCGTGTTAGGCAACCAGAGCGAGGAACTAAAACGCCATCCGGATGGGCGGGGACAACAATCTCGGAACACCGCACGAACCGGCAGCAAGAGGATCAGCAGCTCAGCAGGGGCGGGGCCAGAGAAAACGTGACACTGCGCGAGCTGGGCGGGATCTGGCAGCTGGGCGGGGCCCGATGTCACGTGACGCCGCGCGGGTTGTGTAGGCGGGGGCGGGAAGCGGCCCGTGGGCTGCGTGGCTTGTAGCTGTCTGAGGCGCTGAGGCGACGCCGTGTTGTAGAGCCTCCTGCCTTTCTAGGACTTTCTAGGACCCGGCAGGCGAGTGCCTTGAAATAGATGAGAGACATTTTAACTTAGGAAATCTTGTGAGGAAGCAAGGGGTAGGCAGGTTTTAGGTAACTGAGTTACCAACTCCTAGGAAGGAGTGCCCGCAGGCTTTTAGGAAGTGTGTCGCAATAACCTGTATGTCTTTTATAGTGAATAGTGGTAGCTCATGCGTAATTAGTGCTTACTGCTGTACAGAGTACTTTTTAAAAACATGTCTTTTTCTCCTCAAAACACCCTAAGCAGTGGGCACTACTTCTGTCTCCATTTCGTATTTGAAAAACGGAGTTTGAGAGGCTTGCCTAGGTGGCAGGGTTTATGAATCGGGCTCAGTGTCCCGGACTGGGTTCCTGCCTATTTTCAGCCAACACTTTACCCAGCCACGGAGGTTGGAGGAACTTGCCCCTCCCTGTTAGCGTTACCCACTTTCCCCTGAAAGGAGAGTTGGACTTGGGGAAGAGCCTTTTTTGCTAAGATGGAATCAACTGATCTGCTCTGTAACCAGTCGTTTTGTAACTGGTCGAGTATTAACTGCCTTAGTATTAGCTACTGTTTCCCATTAAAAAATTGAGTTATAAATGAACTAAAATAAAATGCACAGATCCTATTATCAGTTCCATCAAATTAAGATAATTGAATATAACTACTACCTCCAAAGAGATGCAGAAAACATCCGTCTACTTTTTTTTAAGAAATAAATGAATAACTGACGCATTGAATGCTTAGTTAAAATTTAGGACAGGTATCTTCAGCATTTTTTTCAGAAGAAGAGATTTTTTTTTTAAAGTCTTTTTTTTTTTTTCCTGAAGAAAGACAATCTGCTTTTTGCTTATAATTATTTTACAAAGAAGTAATTTAATATTTCAGATTGGTTGAAAGACACCTGTGTTATGTGTGAGAAGTTGTGTCTCAAAAATGCACTATTAATGGAAGTGTTTCCAAAGATATTACTGAAATTGTCATATAAATGATTGTGAGATAGATAAGCGATATATCTTTTAAAAATGTTAGTAGACTTAGGTAGGCCCTAAGCTACTTAGACCCTGTCTCAATACAAAAAATAAAAAGGTCTAGGGATCTGGTTCAGTGGTTAAGCTTCCCTAGGTTCCCTGAATGCCAAAACAAAACAAAACAAAAAACCTTGCGGTAACTATCAAAATCTTCACTTAGTCATTTTCATTCTACCCATGTTTACCTATTGATAGCAATCAATTAATGGTCATTCAAATGGGAAGCTACCTCCATGCTTCCTTTTTAAGAACTGTGCTGGTAAATTTGGAGAAGAGAATTATAGTGGTTTTTGGATCACAGTGCTTTTCCTGGGACTCTGGACGACAACTCCCTCATCTTTCCCGTTTTTGAAGACTAGATTATCTCTTGTGCTTTCCATTTTGATTTCATTAATCCATTTCCAAGTTTCTCATTTGGCAGATGAAGAAATGGGCCTAATAAATGATTTAAATGTCAAGTGACATGTATAGGGTTATACAATAGACAGTAGAAGAGCAAAAGCAGAATAGATAGTGAACATGGTTTAGATAAGATGAAGTTGAGGTGATTGTGGGATATCCAGGTAAAGAATTCATAGACAATTGGATATATGAATTGAGCTCTGAAAAGAGATCTACACTAAAAATACAGAAGTGAGTCTTTGTGGATATATTTAACAGTGTGAATTATGGAGTGTAAGTTTCTCTTCAAAAAATAAGATCAAAGGTGTTACAGTCTGTTTAGTTATATTAAGTCATTTGTTACCTGCCTACAACATGCAAGGTACTGTTGTAAACATAGTGAGGAGATGTTAAAAATTATATAATTTTTGCTTTCTAGAGGATTGTAACCATGAAGGAGACATACATGATATTATTTTAAAGCATATGTTGATAAATCCTAGAAGTATAGTTAAGGTGATGGGATTGCAAGGAGGAAGGGGAGACTCATTGTTTGGGAAGATTTGGAGCTTAAAGGTTGTGGGTTTAGAGCGTTTTTCTTTTGTTGTTGTTTTGTACTAGGGATTGAACCCAAGGGCACTTAATCATTGAAACATTTTCTCAGCTCTTCCCCCTTTTAAAAAATATTTCAGACAGGATCTTACTGAGTTGCTTAGATCCTTGATAAATTGCTAGGGCTGGCTTTGAAGCAATCCTCCTGCCTCAGCCTCTGGAGCCCCTGGGATTACAAGTGTGCACCACTGAGCCTGGCCAGAGCTGGTTTTTAAAGGAATGGCAGAATTTCAAGAGATAGATGGTGGTTATTGTAGATAGTAAATATCTTTGGGTAAAAAACTTAGAAGAAATGTAGTTCTTATTTTGGGAATTACTTAAATTTGGATCCCTTGGATCATGCATTAGAGACTTCATTCTCAGCCTGTAGTACTATGGGAAGTCGTAAAACTTTACGAGGTGAGGCCCACAGGGAGGTCTTCAGGTCACTGAGGGCATGCCCTTGAAGGGGATTGTGGGACCCTGGTCTCTTCCTTGCCTTTGACTCCTGGTGGTATGATGAGCACCGTTGCTCTGCCGCACAACTCCTGCCATGAAGAGTTGACTCCCAACTCCCAGCATAGCAATGAATCCACAAGATCATAGACCGGAAGCTCCAAAACTGAGCCAAAATAACCTTTTTCTTTTTTTGTTTATCTCAGTAGTTGTAATAGGAACTGAAAGCTAGAACAGTAATAGAGACCAACATATTCTAAGGGCATGTATATGTTCTAAGGGCATAGTGTTTGAGAAGGTATATAGATTGAGAAAAAGTAGGTAGGGCTAAGTTAATAATACTTTGTAAATTCCTTAAGTGAGTATTTCAAATTTAAGATTCTCACCTTGATATGTTATTAAGCTTTTCATATTTTCTTAATATTTGTTTGGCAAATACAATGAAAGCTTGGAATCTAGTCAGCGTACAAAGGAACAATGTTATTTTTTCCTCTCAATTAGGTAGTTATATAGAGGTGTACTGTATTCATGATGATACATACTCTTATCACTAGATTATAAAATGTCACATGTGTCTAACTGGTGATTTCAGTTTCATTTTAGTATTCGATCTTAAAGGATTATATGCCCTTTAATTTTGCTTGTTTTCAGTGGTGAAGAAATAAATTATTCACAAAATGCAGATTTTCCAGAAAGGACTTTGAATTGAAGAACGCTCTTAATATTTGACAAGTAAGTTTTTTTAATGTGTTAAATTTGGCTGATAAGTGAAAGTTTCCTAGTTTTTATTTCTTCAGAAGTCTGCTTTAATGGGAGGAGATCATGTACAAGGGCAAGGGTTATGTTTTTGGCCGGCAACCAGGTACCCATAGCTATGTTGACCTCTGAATGAAATTGGATTGGTACTGTTAGGTCAGTTAAGTGTAAGAAGTCCCCTGGAAGTCAATTTTGTAGGTGGTATTATTTTTCCTAAGGTGGTATTGGAATAGTGATCAACTGTAGAGGTAGAGATGAATAAGTAGTTATTGAAAGAAATGAAAGCTGTCTTTTTGAGAATTATTATCTTAGCTTGCCATGTAGATTTCTTTCCTGTTGGAATTATGTTTTTGTTTAACTATGGACATTCATTTTCATTTTCAAAACTTTGAGATCAAATCAGTAATTTTTCACTTAACATTTTATGTAAAGTCAGAGATTGCAAACTTAGATGCTTACAGAGGTCAGATAGGCATGCAAAATAATAATGATAACATTTCTTGAGCCCTATGTGCCAAGTAGTTTTCTAGATTATATGTATCATGTGCATTATCTTTCTTAATCTTCATAACAACTCTCTAACGTATATAGTATTATTTGTATCAGATTTAAAAAATAGGGAAGAGGGCAGAAAAGAAAAGGTTTAGGACACATTGTGAGTAGATAAGTGTATTAGCACTGAGACCCAGAATTTGAAATTACTGAAGCAGGCCAAATGGCCACTATGGTAAACTGAAGAAAGCATGCCCCATATTAAGGGCATACACTGCATGAAGAAATGGTAATGTAGTATTGCACATCTTTCAGTTTTTTTTAATTGCAGACAGAAATCTGGATTTTTAAAAATGAGATGTTGGAATTAATTAGAAAAACAAAAGACACTTAAGTCAAACAAACTGTGTCTACAGATTGCATTCAGTACATGTTTATAAAATAGGGATGTTAGTATCTACTCCTAAGTTTGATGTAAGAATCAAATTGGAGCATTTTATATACAACATTTAGCTCAGTGCCATGCACATAGTGCTAAGTATATGTTAGCTCTTTTTAGTAGGATAAACATTTTTTCTAGTCATCAAAATTCCTCTTCAGTATCATTTATTGTCATTTTTATCTTAAGAAATTGTAAAAATAATATATGAGTGCATGAGTGTGTTGTAAAACCTCAACATGGAAGCAGAGGGAGCAAATGATTGAAGTTGCATTCGTTTTTTGTTCCCATTCCCAATTGCCTTCCCCTCCCTATATGTAATTAAAAGCCACAAATGCTGTATTTATCTTTCTAGTACTCTGTTCCCTTTTATACATCTTGGAAATCTTCTGAAGTAATTTCAAACAAAGCTACATCATTCTTCTCAAAGGTTGCATGATTTATCCTTTACTATGAATATATCCTAATTTATTAAACTAGGTCTCTCAGTTTAGGTAGTTTTTAGTTATTTGTTGTTATAAAAAAGACTCTGCAAGGAGTATGTATGTTTGGGCTTATTTGTGAATACTTCCCTATGTTGAAATGTTGCATGGAATTTCCGGCTAAAGGAATATTAAGAATTTTCAAAGTTATTGTGCCTTTGTTAAATATATATTTGTAACTTTATAATATTCAATTTTATGAATCTATCTTTATTTACTTTACTATTTCCTTATGATGACACATTTAGGTTATTTCCATTTTCTTGCTACTATAAGTGATCTTGCAATAAATAACCTTTGTGAGTAGGTTATATTTTAAAAATATAAACACTTCAATCTGAGAGGAAGTTTTCAACTAGCAAGTATATCTCCGAGACTTTACTTTCCAAAAACTATTTTAAGAACTATATTTAGTGGCAATATATTATTATAATTTTATTTGGTAATATATAATTTTTAGAAAAAAAATAGAGCTTTAATAAAATCATGGCCCTGTCTTTATACTTAGGATTTTTAGAAACTATGTTTTTGTTTCATTTTAGGCATTGTCATCTGTGATGAAGATCATCGTGAAACAGAAGATTGAGTTGGGCCTTGTAACTTTGGACCTGGATTAGAAATTTAGAACAGAGAGTTAAAATTAGTCACTTTTTTGTATTCCAATTTCATATTATTTATTTATTTTAATAAGTAGGTTTAGAGTGAAGAAATTAAAATTCATTGCTATACCAGAGGATGGAATAATATTTGTTCTGGTATTTTTTTTCCTTTTTGTATGAAGAGAAGAGAGTAGATAGCCAAGAGCTATAGCATTCATAATGAAATACACTAAATGCAATTTTATGATGTCAGTTCTTGGCATTATAATCTATGTAGCTGATTTAATTGTGGACATCTGGGTATCTGTCAGGTTTTTCCACGAAGGACAGTATATTTTTGGTATTTTAACATTCAGCTTTATGCTTTTTGGAACACTTGTGGTCCAGTGTTTTAGTTATTCTTGGTTCAAGGCTGATTTAAACAAAGCAGGCCAAGAAATTCAGCATTGCTTTCTTCTACTTCATTGCTTACAAGGAGGAGTTTTTACAAGGTGAATATGTGCTTTTGATCACTAACATTGTTTTCCTTTTACCCAAACAAGCTACCTTTTTTCTATGTAAGTAGTCAGATGTACAAAGGTTCCCTATTTTCAAGGAGCACAAAGGTTACTTGCTCCTCACTGTGGGTGTGCACATGAGTCATTACTGTGCTGTCAGAATTTCCCAGATTCATTTAGCTAATTAAGTTGCTTTTTTGGGTATGTGCTAAGTTTTGTGTTCTGTGTATATTGTAAGCCTGATAGTGCAAATGTAGCTTATCACATGCACCTCTGAGAGAGTACTTCACTTATTTATGCTGATTTAACTAGATGAAAAAAGCTTTACTGTAATAATGCAGTAGCCATGCAGATAGGTAGGTATAGAAATAAAATCAACGTTAAGAATCATGTTGTTAAAACCTTATTTTATAGTTAAACTAGAATCTAAATAGGGTCTGAGAATTCTGTGATTCTCTATATATTTGATTTTATATGACATTTTTACTATTATCTTAAATGATTTTATTCTGTTAAGACAGAATTTTTCATAAAAGTAAAAAGAAAAATATACCTATTAAAAATAATAATGTATTACTATTATTTTTTGTGGTGCTGGGGATCAAACTCAGGGTGTCATGCATGGTAGGCATTCTGTCATTGAGCCATATCCCTAGCCCTGTACTTTTTTTTTTTACAGTTATATTTTGAATTTGGTCTATTTTAAGATAACATAGAGATTAACTTTTTATTTGTTAAGAGGCAACAAATTCATGGTCATTAGTTGAAAATACTAAAAGAAATCTAGGCTTTTATATTACCAATGATGCCATTACATTACTGTAGAGATTTAGTGTTTTGTAAATATTAGCTTTTATTTAGTCTTTTCAAAGCTAGAGTTATTAGTTATAATATGTAAGAGGAACTAAATACAATGAGAAGTTTTAAAGTCTTAGGAAATCTGAAAAGAATGTACTTTAGTTGTTGATATTGGGAGTTAGTTTTGGCATTGTACAAGATGAAAATGTATAAAGGAATGTGGTAAAAGTGTTTTTTAAAAGAATTTTACACACACATATACATCTACAACAAATATATATATATTTATTGTGGATGGACACAGTACTTTATTTAGTATTTTTTTTTTTTTTAATGTGGTGCTGAGGATCCAACCCAGCCTAATGGTGCTACACAAGTGCTCTACCGTTGAGCTACAACTGTGGCCCGTGAAAGTGCTTTTAAATAAATAGGAGTGTAATAAGTTTTAATGAATATTCTGTATGAGCAATAATGAAAATTATATAGTATCTGAAGGAGGATAAAAATTACTTTGTAGAGAATTTAAAAATATAGTATACATGAGTTTCTTTGTTATTCTCTTAAATTTTCACATTTCCCAATTATTTTCATTGGTGTTTGAACTGATGACTCAAGATGTTGATATTGAAAGTTTGGTCCTTGTCCCTGATGCTGATCAAGGTTTTGAAAAAAAGTAAAAAGTTTTACTGCTTTTCTAGCAAAGGAGAAAGGCAATAGATTCAAGTCACAGAGGCTACCATTCAAACTACTACAGAGGGCTTTATAAAGGGAAGTATAGGCCTATTTTCCAGATATTGTCAGTAAATGTGATGAACGTTTAACTTTGTCCTTAGGAGAGCTATTTTTCCATTCCAGGTCCAGAGTTTCTTTGTTCAGGTTGGCAGTAAACCAAAGGACAGATAACTTAGGCAGGGAAGAGTGTTTTTGTTTTCCCTTCAGTTATGGATAGGAAAGGAGGAAAGGAAAAAAATGTCAGTTTTAAAAGAAGTTTCCAGCGATTGAGCAGCAAGGTTTACATTCAAAACATAAAGTGGGCCCCTGTTGCATGAAAGGGACCTCCTCTGTTAAAATATTGCAAGATATTGTATTATAAATAATTCTCTTATAAAAGAAGGCAAAATTGAGCAGGGTGCTGTGGTGGTGCGACACTTGTAATTTCAGCAGTTGGGAAGGTTGAGAGAGGAGCAGCATAAGTTCAAAGGTAGCCTTAGGAACTTAGTGAGGCCTTTGGCAACGAAGACTGTGTCTCAAAAATAATAATAAAAAAGAACGGGCTCTGTGGCTCAATGGTTAAGTACTCCAAGTTTCAATTCCTGGTACCCCATCCCGCCAAAGAAAAAGGCAAAATTGCTTTGATGTTCATTGTTTCTTTATCAGCATAGTAATTTTATCATTTTATTTTATACTTGACAGTAAAATGTATTTTGACATATTTTATATATATATACCTATATATATATATAGAATACAACTTCCCATATATGAACATAGGAAAGTAATGTCTGATTCATTCTACTAATTTTCCTATTCCCAACTCTCCTCCCTTCCCTTCATTCCCCTTTGTCTAATTCAAAGTACTTCTATTTTTCATTACCCCCTATTATTGCAAGTTAGCATCCAAATATTAGAACATTTGTCCTTTGGTTTTTTGGGATTGGCTTATTTCACTTAGCATGATAGTCTCAAGTTCCATCCATTTACTGGCAAATGCCATAATTTTGTTTCTCTTTATGGCTGAGTAATATTCCATTGTGTATACACTAATTTTCTTTATCCATTCATCTGTTGAAAGCTGCTGTAAACATTGATGTGGCAGCTTTACTATAGTATGCTGATTTTAAGTCCTTTGGGTATACCAAGGAGTGGGATAAATGTGTCAAATGGTAGTTTCATTTCAGTTCTTCTGAGGAATCTCCATTCTACTTTCCAGAGTGGTTGCACCAAATTGCAGTTCTTCCAGCAACATATGAGTGTATCTTTTCCCCCATATTCTCGCCAACATTTATTGTTGCTTTTATTCTTGATAATTGTCATTCTTACTGGAGTAAGATGAAATCTCAGTGTAGTTTTAATTAGCATTTTTCTAATTGCTGGAGATATTGAACATTTTTTTCATATATTTGTTGACCGATCATATTTCATCTTCTGTGAAGTGTCTGTTTAGTTCCTTAGCCCATTTATTGATTGGGTTATTTGGGTTTTTTTCTTTATATATCCTGGAGATTCAGGCTCTATCTGAGATACAGGTGGAAAAGATTTCCCCCCATTCTTTAGGCTGTCTCTTCACATTCTTAATTATTTCCTTTGCAGTGAAGAAACTTTTTAGTTTGATACTAGCCCATTTGTTGATTCTTGATTTTACTTCTTATGCTTTAGGAGTCTTGTTAAGGAAGTCGGTTCCTAACCCAACATGATGAAGATTTGGGCTTGCTTCTTCTTCTAGCAGGTGCAGGGTCTCTTGTCTCATGCCTAGGTCCTTGATCCACTTTGAGTTGAGCTTTGTGCAGGATGAGTGATAGGGATTTAATTTCATTTTGCTACATATGGATTTCCAGTTTTCCCAGCACTATTTGTTGAAGAAGCTATCTTTTCTTCAGTGTATGTTTTTGGCGCCTTTGTCTAGTATGAGGTAACTATATTTATGTAAGTTTGTCTTTGTGTCTTCTATTCTGTACCATTGGTCTACATGTCTGTTTTGGTGCCAGTACCAAGTACTGTTATTATAGCTCTGTAATATAATCTAAGGGCTGATATTGTGATGCCTTCTGCTTCATTTTTCTTACTAAGGATTATCAGGATAGTAATTTTTGATTAAGTGTCATAAAATTATAGAGGCTCTGGACAGTATGACTATCCTTTTTCTCTGATGGGCATTTAGAATAATAAGTCTGTTTTTGATTTGCCTTTGCTTCTAGGGTACAGCCTCCAGGGCATTGGTAGCCTGACCCCAGATATTCTGAATGTTTGTCTGTTTCCTTGGCACTATAAGACTACTAGAAACTTTGTTTTTCAAAAGTGTTCTGCTTAACCTTTACTCTCTCTTATGGTTTCAGTGTTTGGCAAATGTCTTGGGGGAAAAACTGAGTTTGAGGTCCCACAGTTCTGTCAGATCTCCAAAATCTCTGCTAATTTGTTTCTTGACAGCCCGTTGCCTAGTCAGAATCCAGAATTTCAGCCTCTTATCCGAGTAACAATCAGCAAATACCCCCACAAAATGAGTATCTTTGGAAACAGCTTCCCAGTATCTAGTTTCTATAGTAGTCTTGGCAGGACCATTGTTCTTCTCTAATATATTATTATATCCACCTAGAAGTATAGTCCATAATGTGAAGTTCTAAGTATAAAGTAAAATAAAACCTCTATGGTTCACATGGATAATAAAAAGACCTCAAAACACTTGAATCCCATTTATCATGTTCCCAACTTATATATTAATGTTTTTGGCACTTTAATTCCTATTTTAAATCCACTAGATGATATTATTACTGCATTATTAAGTTGTTTTATGAAGTTAAATTTTATTAATTTTGTTAATAAAATTTTTCATTCCTTCTTGACTCTTAACCCTTTTGAAAAATACTGAACTTAAGGGCCCTTCTGAAATTATGACTTCATGATAATTGTTTTCTGCATCCCATATTTCCTCATACTGAGAGTAAGGCTGGAGAGCTCCCTCCCACTTCTTTGGGGGATGCCAGGACCCTAAGAAGGAGATTGGCTCTTACCGCAGCCTGATTGGCACATGCTAACTAAATTTATGTATGTGTAGCACTTGGCTTTTGTTTCTATGTATTATAACCACTTCTGTGGGACCAGTGGAGTAGCAATCTAGCAGCTTTTCTTCAATTTGATCAAACTATATAAAATTCACTTTTTCTTTATGTCAGTAGGTGACTGAATCAAGCTAGCTGGAGTCCAGGCAATATTCCAGGGCTAGCTGATAAGATCTTGCCCAGATCACTTTTTTTTCCCTGCCTTTCTGAGGTCTGTCTTTTAGAATTTCATCCACAGAGGGTGTGTTGGTGATATCATCTCTTAATTTTTGATTGCTTGAAAATTGTTGAAAATTCTATAGAATTTTCTGTTGAATTCTAGATAAGTAGTTACTTTCAGTGTATTTTATTCTATTGTCTTTTGGTTTCTATTTTGGCTTTGGAGGAGTTAGATTTCAGTTTTATTGGATTCTTTTGAAAGTA